TTGTACCTGCTGGGTTCTTTTACTAGGTGGATAGATAATATTCTATTCAAAATGATATATTCATCTAAAGATACCCGTTTTCTTACCAAAATAGAGTTTATAAAACCTGCTTCATAGAGCTATCACAAGGACTGGATCAGACAGTGTGGGAGAGAACCTAGCACTGCCTGCCTCTGTCTCACACACACACTCCTTCCTGCCCTTAACTTGAGTTATCCAGACAGCCTAGGATCGAGTACACACTGATGCAGAGTGGTATTTTTTCCGTTTCCCTCTTAGCAATGGAAGGTAGTGATAGTGAGAATTTGCAAAAGGGAAACACTTGGTCTTCCACAATAAGAGCACTAACCCCTCAATCTTATACCTACAGAACTCTACCACCAAAACCTACCTCTCCAACCCCTGCTACCCCCGGGATTACAGCACCAACTTCACCATGGGCCATGTATTTGACAGCCTGTGCACAGTGAGCCACAGGCCAGCGAGTTATAACCCTGATGACATCATCACTTTTGAAGGAACTGGGAACCCATTACTCTGTAGGGAGAAGGTGGCTTCCACATTTGACTTCAAAACTTGCCATGATCCAGACACCTGCTCCTCTGGTGGAGTTTATCAGCCAAAGGTTAAAGGGCCATTTGTGGTAAGAACAAAACGTCACCTCACCGAATATTTATTTCTCACCTTTCTGTTTCTCCTCTGCTCACCTATTACCCACTTTCTTATTCCTGACCCGAAAACCTAATCTATATTATCGCCCATTCTGAGAACTAATTTCCTTCTGTACTATTTATTTACAGGCTTTTGCAGGATTCTACTACACAGCCAGTGCTTTAAATCTTTCAGGTAGCTTCTCCTTGGACACCTTCAACTCAAAGACCTGGAATTTCTGCTCACAGAATTGGAGTCAGGTCAGTATTTAAAGAGAAAGGATCAATGTCAATACTAAAAAGGTATAGCAGAGTCTACCCCATGTGTGTGCATGTATGTGTATTCTAAATTTGGCCTTTATGTTCTTTCTACCACATTTTTGAAATAGGAGAGCATACCTGCCTGAGGTATGAATTAATGTTATAACCACACGCACAATGATTAAGACAGTTTGGCACACAAAAACACCCATTGGATTTAGAGATAATGATTTGGTGATATTATTTAGATATATTTTACACAATTGTATTATCAGGTAGTCATTTTTATCATGAAATTCTGACCCATAAGATTCTTTAAAATATGGTTGTTCATTTTAAACATACTTGCCTTCCCTGCCCCTCAGACGTTTTAAACTTCCTTTTTAGCTTCCTCTCCTGCTCCCCAAATTTGATGAGGTGTACGCCCGCTCCTACTGTTTCTCAGCCAACTATATCTACCACCTATTTGTGAATGGATACAAATTCACAGAGGACACCTGGTCCCAGATACATTTTGAAAAAGAAGTAAGTCAAAACCCAAATCTTTTTCTCCTTTTCCTCCCAAAAGAGAGTTTTGTGAGTATGTATGGGTGTGCCAGCAACATAGAAGGTAAAAAGGGTTATTGGTGATTTAAAATTGTTGGGCAGAAGCGGATCAGATTGAGCCATTCTGGGAAGAAGTGATCTTAGACAATTGAGAGAAGTTGCTCACAGGAGACCATTCCAGATGAGGACAGGACTGGAAGCCAAGGGCCAGTGAATGGGCAGGTTCTCAAGGGCAGGGACTCGTCCTACTATCTCCATATTCCTAACACTCAGCACAAGGACCAGAACCTAGTAGGTGCTTGGAAAGGTTTGCTGGGTTAATGAATAAATGTGTTAAGGATCTGAGACTTTTCATGATGAAAATAAGCTTCAAGTTTAACTTAACTTTTGTTTTTGGAAACAGAGTCTTAATTTGTCTCCTTGGGTACAGTGCTATGGAGTCATACCTCCCAGCAACCTCAAATTCTTGGGCTCAAGCAATCTTCTTGCCTCAGCCTCCCAAGTAGCTGGGACTACAGGTGCTCACCACAACACCTGGCTATTTTTTAGAGATGGGATCTCCCTGTTGCTCAGGCTTAGGCAATCCACTCTCCTTGGCTTCCCAAAGTGCTAAGATTACAGTTGTGAGCCACCACACTTGGCCTAAATATAACTTAACTTTTTAAAGAGGATAGGAACTAACTGTTCTCCTTTTTACATAGATGTCAGAGCAAGATACAGGCTTTACAGCATACAGAATTTACATTAGCATTAAATAAGAATTTTCTCTTTGTTGATGTGCTCTCACCTACTGGGGACAACATAGGGATCTATGGCACTCCTCCTGATTGAAGGGCTCAACTACAACTTGGACTTTACCTAACAAGTGAAAACAATGTAACCTTATATTAATCTAAAATTAAAAAAATAATTTTCTCATTGAATGAGATTACTGAGATCACTGTATTTACTAACAAAGATTTGGGAGATGGGGAGGATCTTCTTAGCTCATCATTTTATATAAGCATATATGTTTATAGATATAAATTATTATCAAGTAACCAGAATGGTCCAAAGATGAATCATAGCTGTCATCAAGCAACAGATGAAGGGGCTTCCAGACCTTGTTTTCAGGCAGGCCTCAGCTTTGCAAATATGTTCTGGAAGGATTTTCTCATTTCAGGAATGGCAGATGTGAAGCTGAAGGATGTCTGGAGTCGTCTGTTCAATACTAGCTTTAGCAGTAATTAGATTAAGCCAGTCAATATCCTGCCTTAGGCTCATGACTGTCTACTATTACTAAATAAAATTGAGTCATCTACAAAAAATATGAATGTCTAGGGAGACGTAAGGACTGTTGGTGGCATGTACTCTCTAAGCTTATCTTCTAATGAATCTAATTACAGTAAAATACATTATAAGAAGGGAGAATGACTTCCCAATGAGTACTGATTTGGATTGATATAACTGCTCAGGTTTAAAGTTTCTTTCTTTCAATTATAAAGAATTTTATATCCAGCCAAATTAGTAATTAAATGTAAGTGTGTAAAAGGCTTCAGAAGGTTTGCCATGCAACACTTAAATAGCAAACATTTTTTAGAATAAGTACTCAAATAAGAGAATTAAATCCAGAAGATGTTATAAAAACATAGGAAATAAGAATAAATGATGTCGTGGCTTAAAATTTACATTAAAAAAGAGCAAAGGAAACTAATGCTAAAAAAAGTAAAAGAGGGGAGTGCCTGTGGCTTAAAGGAGTAGGGCACTGGCCCTATATGCCGGAGGTGGTAGGTTCAAATCTAGCTCTGGCCAAAAACAAAAAAAAAAAAAAAAAAAAAAAAAAAAAATTTTAAAAAGTAAAAGAGAAAAATTCACCCATACAACCCAAATATAGGAAATACCCAATGTAATAGGGGTATGATAGCAGATCAAGTGATACAGGGACATAAGACCAGCTTAAAAATTTCAGTGTGAACATACAGATATCATTTTTTTAAGGCATAAAAGGAAAAAACAGAAAATAGCAGTAATTAAAAATATGAAAGTAAGGTTTTAGAAAACAATCCAAATATATCAATAATGAAAATAATCATAAATGAACTAAACCTACCAGTTAAAAGATAGACATTGCCAGATTGGATTTTTTTTTTTGGAGACAGTCTCATTATATCACCCTCGGTAGAGTGCCATGGCATCACAACTCACAGCAGCCTTAAAGTCTTGGGCTAAAGCAATTCTCTTGCCTCAGCCTCCCAATTAGCTGGGACTACAGGTGCCCACCACAACGCCCGGCTATTTTTTTGTTCCAGTTGTCATTGTTGTTTAGCAGGCCTGGGCTGGGTTCGAACCCTCCTGCCTCAGTGTTTGTGGCCAGCACCCTAACCACTGAGTTACGGATGCTGAACCTGATTGGATTTTTAAAAATCAAGGAGCTACCATTTATAGGAGAAATACTTATGCTCTAAGCATAAGGCTGTGGAGAGATTGAAAGTTAAAAAATATATATTTTAATTATCAGTCAACCACTACCCAAAAGAAAGCTGGTGTAATTATTTAATATCTGACAAAACAGTCTTTAAGACAAAGAGCCTCATTTGAGATAGATAGGGTTACACTATAATAATAATAAGTTCAACTCACTACAAAATTTGTCGATTTAAAACATTTATAGGGTGGGCGCTGTGGCTCACACCTGTAATCCTAGCACTCTGGAAGACCAAGGTGGGTGGATTGCCTGAGCTCACAGATTGGAGACTTGCCTGAGCCAGAGCAAGACCCTGTCTCTAAAAATAGCTGGGCATTGTGGTAGGTGTCTGTAGTCCCAGCTACTTGGGAGGCTGAGGCAAGAGAATCGCTTGAGCACAGGAGTTTGAGGTTGCTGCGAGCTATGATGCTACAGAACTCTACTCAGGGTGACAAAGTAAGACTCTGTCTCCAAAAAAACTATTATACATATAATAACCCCTAAAAACATGTACAGCAAAAATGGATGAAACTGCCAGAAGAAATTGACAAAGTCTGCTTCCCATTTGGACCAACTCCCTGTTCTTAGAAACTGGCCCTGAGGTTAGCAAACCCCTCACAGCCCTTTCTCTAGCCATAAACAGGGCTATACCCCTGGACAACAGGGATACTTTGCCTATTAATTGTACCTTCCTCATGCTTAGCTCTGACAAGGTTGTTAGTATTCATTCCTTGACTATTTTCTCTCCATTGCTGGAGGTGAGACCTCTGCATCTTTGTGGTGACAGTGTGGTGCCTGAACTTGGACAAGTCCTTTGACCTCCTTGGGCCACTGTTTCCTGTGGGAACTTTGTAAGGTTATAGTGGTGTGCCCAGGTATGTAATTGCAGCTACCAGCCTTACTCTGAGAACTGAGGCATTTTCTCCTCTACTCCACAGGTGGGGAACAGCAGCATAGCCTGGTCTCTTGGATACATGCTCAACCTGACCAACCAGATCCCAGCAGAAAGCCCGCTGATCCGCCTGCCCATACAGCAGCCTGTCTTTGTAGGCACCCTCGCCTTTTTCACAGTAGCAGCCTTGCTGTGTCTGGCATTATTTGTGTACATGTGTTTCTTGTCGAGAAAAATGAGGCACTCTGAGCATGTCTTCAACCATGCAGTAGATTCTGACTGAATCTTCAAAGCAGCTCCTGGAGCCCAAGGGCTGCTTAGAACCAGCCTGCATGGCACTGGGCAATACAAGCAAAGTGGCTGCCTTCAGGAGATATCACTAAAGTCAAACACCTAGGTCATGTGCCTCTCAGATACTGATTTCTGCCAAAGCCTCTGTTGGGGAGTCCCTCTGCTACTGTGTGCACATTGCTCTTCCAGAGACCTCATACCCACTTGCTTATCTATTGGGGAACAGAGAAGATGCTGGCTGTCAAGGTCAAGCCCTTTATTCCAAGTCCCCCAGAGGAAGAGTAAGTTAAAAATATAACATTTCATGTTAAAGAATCGACCTCAGGGCTCAGTTTCCATTTTCCCTCCCTCAGTATTTCTCCCAGCAAGATTCCCAGTAAGCATTAGGCCCAGGCAAATATTTCATGATATAGTATCTGGGGGAGAAGACTCCTGCCCCAAGGATAGTAACCACAGTCAGGCTTCCATCATGCAAGTAGAACCTGAAGCATAGACATACAGAAAGTCTTCAAGAAAGCCATAGGCCATTCTAAAAGTGGAATTCCCACTCGGGGTGCAGGTCACTGGATTACAACCTGTGTGTTTTATCATCCTCATCTCACCATCATATTAGCATGCCTGCCTACAAAACACGTTTACCCTTAGTGAGGTTATTGCATTTCAGATCTGATTGCCTTTGCGAGGCTTTTGCTTACCAAGGGCTGCCTTTCCATTGTTTTCATGGTGTGTGTATTTTTCCCACCATTCCCACAGGTAAACTTGATGTTGTCATAAGATGTTTAATTACTCACCAGTTACTTTCCTAGATCATAGATCTCTCTGATTCTATGATTTGTGCACCAGTTACTCTCCTGGGTCATAGACCTCTCTACATAGTAGCCATAGTTCTTAACTTCAGGGACAGAAAAGGGAGCTGTAGGAATATTTACTTCCAAAGTGTGATGATAAAGAACCCCAGCAAATCCAATGGCTACAAGCTAAAAATCAACATTATTTCAGATTGCTGTTTGTGAGCTGAATATGGAATAAAGAATTCATATTTTATTTGGACTTGGAATCTGTGTGTTTGTTAACTCACATGTGATAGATACCCTTTCTCTTTAAGGACCCAAGGTAGCATTTATGAGAAGAATATTTTTTAATTAAGAAAAAATTTTTAGGCCAGATGCAGTGGCTCACACCTGTAATCCTAGCACTCTTGGTGAATTACTTAAGCTCAGAAATTTGAGACCAGCCTAAGCAAGAGCAAGACCCCATCTCTACTAAAAATAGAGAAAGAACTAGCAGGGAATTGTGGCAGGGACCTGTAGTCTCAACAGCTCTGGAGGCTGAGGCAGGAGGATCTCTTAATCCTGGGATTTGAGGTTGCTATGAGATCTGATGACACTGCAGCACTCTACCCAGAGTGACAGAATGAGATTCTATCTCAAAAAAAAAAAAAAAAAAAAGAGAGAGAGAGAGAGAAAGAAAGAAAAGAAAATTTTCTTAAAAATCTTTCCTAGTGGCCAGGTACGGTGACTCACATCTATAATCTTAGTACTCAGGGATGCCAAGGTAGGTGGATTGCTTGAGCTCACAAGTTCGAGACCAACCTGAGCAAAAGTGAGACCGCCATCTCTACTAAAACTACAAAAAACTGAGGCAAGAGGATCACTTGAGCCCAAGAGTTGGAGGTTGCTGTGAGCTATGACATCACAGCACTCTACCCAGGGCAACAGCTTAAGACTGTTAAGACTTAAAAACAAAAAAGAAAAAACACTTTCCTAGTGAATGAAGAAAACCATCCATTAAAATGTTTATTCCTGGCTTGGTGCCTGTGGCTCAAGCGGCTAAGGTGCCAGCCACATACACCTAAGGTGGCGGGTTCAAATCCCCAGCCCGGGCCCGCCAAACAATGATGGCTGCAACCAAAAAATGGCCAGGCATTGTAGCGGGTGCCTGTGGTCCCAGCTACTTGGGAGG